CAAGATCCGTTTGCTTTATCGTCGGTCAAACATCGTAAATCATAAAGTATCTTACAATTCGAGATGAAGTATATAACAAAAAATGTTCATGTTGAAAGAGATCATATATAAATAAGCAAAATGTCTTTCTATCCATTACTTCGTATGAACTATACAATAATATACGGAATTACAGAGTATGTTATATGTATATTAGTTAACTAATAGTGAACCTAGAACAGTAACTCATTAGCGAAAATCTCATTATAGTGGGCCAACCACTAACTAAGCCTACAAATATTAAAACATTTTTTTATATTTATTATTATTTTCCTTATTTTATGTTTAAATATTTCTATGTATATTGTGTATGTAATATATTATAACTATAATTATATCATCACGAGTCGGCTCCAAAACGGGCCGAAACTTAAAAATTCATATCTAACCCATTTTCTCTATCGTGTAACGGGTTCGGATCCGGATCCGAGGAAGTGCCGGATTCGGATCGGGTCTGGGTCTAGACCTGACCCATCATCAGGCCTATATCATGTTTAAATTGACGTCATTTAAATTTAAATAATTAAAAAATTATGTGAATAGTGAATATCTATCTATTTCAAGAATTCTCGTGATGTAAATCTTGATGCCATGTACTTCGTGTTTCTATAAATGCAATATCAGCTGGTGATAAATGTATTGGTACAGGACCTGAATGAAACAGAACTATCAATCTAGGATCTAACATTTCATAGGTTTTGTTTTGTTTGATTTTTTTTATTAATTCCATTGCTAATTTTTTGCTAAACTTTTCGTTACAAAACTTTATCAGTTTGGTAAAACAAAATAAGATATTTTTTAAAAAGTTCAGAAAAAAATAAAATAAAATTCATGGCAACTTAAACCTAGATTGATAGTTTTCAAATTTCCAGTTCCTAATTTATAGTTTTCTAAATTTGAATTCTATATCAATATTTTTCATCTTTCCAATCCCACATTGATAACTTGTCTATGTTTAAGATCATTGATTAATAAAATTTTTAAAAAAAGAATATACTCCGTATAAAAAATGACAATTTTCTTTTAAGTAATTTTAGTATTAGTGGTAGGGAAGAATTCATATGCGTCACCACATAATATTCGGCCGGATCCGATTTTGTCTTCAGCACACGATTGCATGAGAAAATGCTAGTGTAGACCTCTGCTATAAAATCTGGCAGCAAAGGAAAAGAGAAAATGACTAGACAAATGTAGGGGTACATACGGGTATAATTTTACCAATTATATTTGTAGACACTTTGAGTAGGGGTTGCTATTACAAAATCTCTGAAAATGATATTAATCTTATCAATTTCGCCATTAAAATTAACTAACCTATATGAACTACAAAGTACGGAGTATTATTTAACTTAAACATATGTGTTGTAAATGTCATCTTCACGCTTTATAATCTATCTCGAATTCTGGACCACCAATAAGGATGTTTCCTTTTGGACTGTTTTCAGTCCCAGACCATATCAGATTATACCAGATTAGACTTCCGTACTTATAAAATACACAGAGATCAGATGTTTATCAGAGTAAACTAAACTACCAAATTTCAGTCCAAAAGAAAACATCCTAAATTCATCGGGAAAACCTAGGCCCCGACTCATTCAAAATTTTAAAAATATCTATATAATTAATGTAAAAAATTCCACGTAAATTTTTCTCCAAAAATATTTTTTATACCGACTCAGTTCCAACCTAGTGCCCTGACTCCGCCCTGTTGGATTTGGTGTAAAAACTTATCAGATTTCGTTATGACAGTAGACAATTGGAACATACGTGTATTCAACTATGTATATCCCAGATTTTTACATAAAGATTTTTATGTTAAATTTAAAGTTTTGGCAATACTATTAAATGACGTGATGATCCAAATTAAATATTTTGGTGGGGAAGTTAGTGAGTGGGGGAGGGGGTTCTGATCCTGGGTGGGAAATGGTCGATCAAGGAGACTCTCTAGAGTGATATTGGCCAAAAGTCTCCTTTACAATTGACCAGCAAGTACCTAATAATCATAGGGGAAGGAAGATTTGGCAAGTTGTAGTTGACTGACGTGGACAACAATCACTAAATAAACTGGGAAAAGATCAAAATTTTTTGTATTTTTTTTACTAGGTAAGTGGAACAGTACTTTTGACATGACATGTAGATTTCCAGCTGTCTAGTTGAGGATCCAATGCCATCGTGGTGCTTAGTTGGGTGTACCAGTGTTTCAATAATCTTGCAAATGTAGTGTCCCGTCACTTATAAATTTGTCATTTTCTTTTATTTTTTGAGCAACTCTATTTGTACACGTTTAAGAGTTTACACATTTACACATTTATATGTGCACACATTTTTTGTCTGTGTAAACATTGTAAGCAGATTTTAAAACGTCTATAAGCAGATTTTTTGTTATTTTTTGGATATCCCAAAAATTTGTCACTTTTCCTTTTAATCAATGAATTTGTGATTCCTGTTATTTCTCTCACTTCTGCACATATCTCAATCACATAATTTTTACTTTATCATTTCCTGTACTGATCAAACACGGCAAAGTATTGAGGGACGGAGGGGTACTTCAGTTCAAAGATTGTCATTACAAAATGAAACTATTATGTGAATGCTCCCCCTGTTCCATTTTATTTGGGAGATAGAGAGTGTGTTGTGTGTGTATTTCTTAATTGAGAAAGTACATATTCAATTAGAAAAGTAACTCATTTTAGTGTTCTTGGTTCTAAGTATCTGAATTACGATTGACGGTATCAAAGGATTTAGAGTGTTGAATTGGAGTATGATATGGTATCCTCATAGTTGAGGATTTATAGACTATGGTTATGTGTTGTTTGCGTGTTGAATCCTGATGGACCAATGAAGGAAACGTGGGATTCGTACTCTAAGTATCTGAATTACGATTTGTTGAATAACTCGATTTGTTGAATCTGTCTCCGGAGAAACTTTCCGTCTATTCGTTTTTTTCTCCAAAAAATAGAAGCACGTTTTGTTTTTATGTTTTTCCAAAATTAGTCAACGTTTTGATTTCACGTATGAAATTATGTAATGATAAAAACAAGTAAGGTTGAATATTTTTCTGGATGGATTGTTGAAGTTACTCTAGATAACCATTTTGATTACATTTTATATTTTTTTATTTATGTTATTAATAAAATATATTTTAAATATAATTTTTTCTTAATTCAACAGAAGCACCCAATCCAGCTATTTCAACCATGAATTCATAGGTTTTAATAGATCAGTCAATTCAACCAATTTCAGTGTTATTGAACGAGCTCTAAATATCAAATATGGAGTAGCTTCTGGTGTACTTTGCCACTTTGGTATAAGAAATAATTAGGCATGTATGATGAAAATAAATATTGGGCCGGTTAGAAGATCTTAATTATGGAATCCATTGGTCCGGTTGGCTGGTGAAACACTAATCTCGGGTTTGGACTCACAGGTCCAAACTTTGAAACTTTGGGCCTACTCCCATCACTCTTTTAGTGGCAGTTGAGGTTGTGGTCTTGGCAACAAATGAATGAAATTATGGTCTGTCAACAATTAAGTTGGATGGAATATGATGTGGTAACCATTTAACATTTAAAATGTTATGGTGATACCTTATTATTTCCAATCACTTGGTGGGATTAAATCCAAAAGTAAATCTACTACAGTATTGCAGAAGACTAGATGCAATTGGACAAGTTGGAGGAAATGTGGATATCTCATATTCCATTATCATCTCTCTTAGTAATCAAATCATGCTAAAGAAGTTGGGTGATTCAAACAAGGACTTTGAGTTTGAGTTGATTTGATTTTGCAGCCTTCTATGGGAGGAATCTAGCAAAAATTAGACAATAAAATCTCAAAGTGCCACACAACATGAAAACATCCATGGCCACATAAATTACTGTCCCCCACTCACAGCTAGGTTACTTCACAACTTCGCAAAGTCTAAATATCAAATAATTAAAACTGGCTAATTGGTGGGCTTTCACATTCAAATTTGATGCTTTGTAGCCTTATATGCACACCACATCCCTATATAGGATAATAATAATAACGATGCCTCCATATTATTGCGCCTTTACGATTAAACTCAACCCTCTGATTTATGCTTTTTATTTTCATTTTTAATTATCACGAAATCTTTTGTCTGGTGTTTGAAGGGAAGACATTAATTAGAAATAATGACAATTTACGATTGAAATAAGGATTGTTTATAAAAATGTGATTGGTGACTAGAATAATAATAATAATAATAATAATGGAATCATAGTAACTTATGTGCAATTGTTAAACTTAAATTACCATGAGATTACAATGTAGTAATTATTAATCATATTAATCATATTTGTGTAAATGAATTTTAATTTAGTAAACAAATTAACACGATGCATGTAAAATCATTTTTAATGAGCATAATAAAAGCTAAAATGGACTATTAGATTATTATATCGGTAATTATCATCAAATTAACAAAACTTTTCTATTCTTTAACTTTAATTAAAAGAAGCTCAAACTTAACCTTTTATAACAATTGCACTTTCCCGTTGTAATTTTCAAAACTTCAAATTTATATCAATCTCAATACTTTTCATAAACTTAAATCAATTTCTTTTAATTTTTTAATTAATTTAATTCTTTTTTGCATGAATCAGCAAGAACTTTAAATATTATTATAATATACTACGTACTTCACAAGCCCCCCTACAAATCTTTCCTAATTCCGATATCCTATTTTCTTTTTTTGGTTTGATATTATTATTTAATCTGGACTAATCTGGTTTAGTAGACATATATTTTATATGTATTTTACTATTGTGTAAGTATGATCTTGTTTGATATGGTCTCAGACTAAAACTAGTCCAATTGAAAACATGTGAACTATGATTTTTTTTACACTTGAAGAACTCCGTGAGAAATTACACATGTAGATCATTAAATTAGGATTTTTTTATCATCAGATCCAACTATTATATTAAAATCATTAGGCAAACGATCGTTACAACAACCTCAAAAAGACCAACCCTGACAAAAACAATTTTTAACCAACAATCATAATCAACCCTACGGCTAGACTCTGAGACGATCACCCCTGAAAGAGCAATACGAATCGCTAACCACCAAGTGGGTGTGACACAGCAATCACTGGTCATATAGATCCTTCTAATGACATAATATCTAGCAGAATTGACAATCATTACTGTAGACCTAAAACTAAAGTTCTCAACAAAAAACGAAACGCCGTAAACAAACATAACACGAAAATAAGACCGTAAAAAATAGAATAACTGACAAATATTTCAAACTTCTTTCTGACTGTTCTCTTGAAAAATCATCTTCAAAACCCCGACTTCTCGATCAATCCAAGGCGGCGGTTCAGGAGGGGGACGAACCGCCGATCTGTATTCTTCCTTGATCAGCCCTTTGTCGCTCTGTGCACTGTTACGTCTCCTCGGTTCTTCCATCAAAACACCACAAAACTGCCGGTCCGAACCAGAAACTTCACTTGCCTCCTTTGTCGCCTCCCCTTCCGAATCCTCTATGCCGAAATTAAAAACGGATGGCCGGAAACCAGCCCCGCTCCTCGGCGTAAGCCGATAGCAGACAATCGAAACTAGCGGCTTGCCTTGCGGCAACCCTAGAGAGAGAAAATGAATCATCCCTTAGAAAAGATATGAATTCGAAATAAGACTAGTTCATTAAATTAGGATTAAGAATGTTATCTGTTATGTTTTTTGTATTAAATTAACAAACATATGTTCTTAGGAACTACTCAGCTTTTGATTAAAAAAAAGGAACTACACAGCACGATCTAGTACTCAAATCCTATACCTGGCCGGCTTTCCTCTAAAATCCTCTGCCCTTTTACCTATAATCTAAAAGCCTTTCGGGAGAACTTTCAAATAGGCCCTCGAAGTTATATAAAAAGTGCAAATCATCCTTATATAAGAGGCTCTGTCCGGCCATCGCTATTTAGGGTGGTTCCCGGTAGAATTCTTTGATGACATTTTTTCAGCATCTTATTCATTAAGTCTAGTTTACTCATATCAAATTTCAGCTAAAAATTCAACTGGGAAGGAAGTCAAATGATTTTCTGAAATATACTGTGCTGTTTAACTACGCAGTTATCTTCAAAAATTCATTTGACTGCCTTCCCGATTGAACTTTTAGTTCAAATTTAGTATGAGTAAACAAGATTTAATGAATAAGATGATAAAAAAAAATTATCAAAAATTCCACCGGGAACCGTCCCAAATGGCGACGGTCGGACAGAGCCTCCAATATAGGAGCACTACAAAAAAACACGCCTGTAGTCACGGACGTTAGTCACGGATTTCGTCCGTGACTAGCTTAGTCACGGACTAGTCACGGATTTTTTAAAAAAAAAATTAGTCACGGATTTGGCCGTGACTATGTCCGTGACTAACCAAATCCGTGACTAATGACCGTGACTAAAGTCCTCCGGTAGCCCCAACTCCGTCGCCGGCAAGTGCGTTTTTATTCCGGCAACTTAGTCACGGACCTATCCGTGAAACAATCTCCCTGAAACTTGCATGTCTAGAGTTTTGCAGTCAGTATGAGGCATGCTACCGCGTGATCATATTCTCCCCGATTCATATTACGAGATGAAACAATTAATATCTAAATTGGGGCTTCCTTGTATTGAAATTGATGCGTGCCCTCGAGGATGTATGTTGTTCTGGAAGGATGATGAGGCACTTGAGATCTGCAAGTTCTGTGGTGGAGACTGATACAAACCTGCTCCTCAAAGACGAAATAAACCACGATATAGGTCTGCATTATCTAAACTGTTTTACCTCCCAATAGCTCCACGACTGAAGAGGATATACGCTTCGACTGCTACTGCGAAACCAAAGAGGGTATGATGTCTCACCCATCGGACTGTGAAGCTTGGAGACACTTTGACCGTTGTCATCCTCAGTTTGCAATGGAGCCACGGAATGTGCTACTGGGGTTGTGTTCAGACGGATTTGCTCCATTTGGAAGGTTTGGGAAGAGCTATTCATGTTGGCCGGTCATGTTAACTCCTTGCAATCTCCCTCCCGACATGTGCATGAAAAGTCACTTTATCTTTTTGACTTTAATTTGTCCGGGTCCCAATGATCCAGGAAAAAAGATAGACATTTATCTCCAACCCCTTATCGAGGAGATGAAAGAACTTTGGGCCATTGGGACACCAACTTATGATGTTTCAAGGGATCAAAATTTTATCATGAAAGCTGTCATCATTTGGACCATTAGCGACTCCCCTGCCCATGGCATGCTTTCGGGGTGGAACACACACGGTCTTATGGGATGTCCGATATGCATGGAGAAATCAGGTGCCAATTGGCTAACTTACAGTAAAAAAAACCAAGTTACTTTGATTGTCACCGCAATTTTCTCCCGGAAAACCACTGATATCGAAAGGGCAAAAAGTCTTTCATTAGAGGTAGAGTGGTACGAGACACCCCACCCCCGAGATTGACCGGGGAAGCAATTTTTAACCGGGTTCGACGTATTCCTACGGCTGTGCAAGAGCCAAATAAGAAGCCATATGAGTTTTGTGATACCCATAAGTGGACAAAGAGGAGTATATTTTGGGAGTTACCATATTGGAAAGACTTTCTCATTCGTCACAATATTGATGTCATGCACACTGAGAAGAACGTGTTTGACAATATATTTAACACAGTGATGGATTTCAAAGGCAAAACTAAAGACGGTCTTGCATCTAGAAAAGATATGAATATTTGGTGTGATAGACCCGAACTTTCTGTTGATCTAGAATATCAGGGTAACAATATTCCAAAAGCAGTCTACCAAGTCACAGAAGCACAAAAGGAATCAATATTACAATGACTTGTGTCTCTGAAGTTTCCAGATGGCTACTGCTCCAACTTGTCTAGAAGCGTGGACATGAACAAACTTACAACGACGTCGAGCATGAAAACTCACGATGCTCATGTAATCATGCAAAGACTTCTCCCAATTGCACTGAAAGAGATGCTTCCTGAACACGTATGGTCCTGCATTACTGAGATCAGTTTGTTGTTTCAGTCGATATGTTCCAGCGTTTTGGATGCAGCATCCCTCCGGAGACTAGAAGAGTCTGTTCCCAAACTGATGAGTAATTTGGAAAAGATAATGCCTCCATCGTTTTTCGATGGAATGGAACATCTTGTAATACATCTTCCGTATGAGGCTTTGACTGCTGGCCCCGTCTTCTATCGCTGGATGTACAGATTTGAAAAGTTAGTCACAATTTCATTTATCTTTGAATATTTATTTCATAACAACATTAATCTGTTTACCACATTGATTTTACCAACATTGCAGGTTTCTTGGAGAGTTGAAAAAAAAAGTGACCAACAAGGCACAAGTTGAGGCTTCAATTTGTCAAGCGTATCTTCAACAAGAAATCTCAAAGTTCTCATCTTTTTATTTTGAGCGTGAAGTCATCACTAGAAGAAAGAGACCTGGCCGGAACGATGGCATTGGCGAGGATTTATACGAAAATGTAGTTTCCATTTTCAATTACCCAGGTAGAGGTAAAGGAACTGCGACACACCGATACGTCGTGGGCGGAGAATTACAAATTGCGCATACTTATATCCTCATGAATTGTCCAGAAATCTTACCGTTTTATCAGTAAGTTAAATTTGTATATATATTTGTAATATATATACAATTATATCAGGTAGTTGATTTATAATATTTTCATGTTTGACTGCACAGTGAATTTAGAGCGGAGCTCTCAGCATTCCCTGATAATGAAATTGATGCAATGGTGGACTCTGATTTTCTACCGTGGTACAAGTATCAGGTATTTATATACACACATTAATTATATATATTATTAAGTAATAATTTGTAATAATTACCCAAAGTTATCATGTTATATTTTACAGATCAATAGCCGTGGGATTGTGGACCCTCTGTTAGTAGCATTATCGTGGGGCCCTGGTGCCTACGCCAAAGTTTGGTGGTCATATGTGATAAACGGTTACAACTATCACACAGTCAATTACGGACAGGGCCGACCAACAGTGAACAACGGGTTATGTGTCCCAACCATCGGTTATGATAACTCGGAATCCAATTTTTTTGGTGTCTTGCATGACATTCTCGAATTTGAAATGCCTTCTGCTGGGAAAAATTTGACATGCGTTTTGTTCAGCTGCAAATGGGTCGATCCAACGCGTGGTGTGAGAAAAAAATTCAAAGTATAATCTGATTGACGTCAACCACTCTCGCGTGTATAGGAAAAATGAGCCTTTTATACTCGCTTAACAAGCAGCCCAGGTTTATTATGCAGAATACCCTTTAACCAGGCGGACACAGAATCCTTGGGTGTGTGCATGTACTGTCCGTCCGAGCAAAATTGTATCACAAACTCAACACAAGGACGTTGATTTAGATGCTTTTCAGCAACAATTTTGCCAACCTCCGCCTATTGTTGAGACGGTCAACCATCACATTCAATTAAGTGATCCAAATGGCGGAAGTGTTGAAGTCATGCCAGAAACGCACCTTCCGGACCTAACACCTCCATCTGAGCACGAAATTGTTCAAATGCATGAAGAATAACAAAATGCTCAATATCAGGAAGATGGAGAATGGATAGACGGTTCTGATACAGAAGAAGACGCTGTATATGTAGAAAATAACGATTCTGATAGCGAGTAATTGTGTTCTTGTAATTTCAATTTTTTTGACTTCGAATATTTGTGCTCTTTTCTTCATCATTATATTACTCCAACAATATTTGATTTTTTTTCTTCATCATTACTATTTGTGAAATAAAAAATACTCCATATTAATTCAACAACAACAAGTTTTTTATATCCATATTAAAAATTCGAAATATACTTTTAATAATTCGAAATTTGAAAATTAAAATTTCCATAATAATTCGAAATATACTTTTAATAAAATTTCCATAATAATTACTTTTAAAAAAATTCGTAAATTTCCATAATAATTACTTTTAATAAGTGAATGACATAAAACTTAAGTGAACACAAAATATTAAAATTAACAAATATTAGTTGAATAAGAACTTGCTACTCATTAGTTAAATTAGTGCTAACATATGAGAGAGAAAACTATTCTGCTAAATTGTTAGCCGGTTTATCTTATACCTAAAAGAACTAAATATGAGATAAAGTTATTCTGATCAATTGTTAGCCGAATTATTTTATACCTAAATCACTACGTATGAGATAGAAAATTCTACTGCTTAAATATTAGCCGGGTTATCTATATACTTAAAAGAACTACATATGTGAAAGATCGAAAATTCCCCGCTTAATTGTTAGCAAGTTTATCTTCTAATACCTAAAAGCACTACATATGAGAGAAAAATTTCTCCCTCTCAATTATAAGCAAGTTTATCTTATTATACATAAAGCACTACATGTTAGGGAGAAAATTATTTCTCTCAATTGTTAGACGGCTTATCTTATACCCAAAAGCACTACGCATGGGAGAAAAAATTCTCCCGCTCAACTCTTAGTCGAATTATCTTATACTATGTATTTAAAAGAACTAAATATGAAAGAGAACGTTATCTCGCTTAAATGTTAGCAAATTTATCTTCTTATCTTCTTATACATGAAAATACTGCATATCTTATACCTAAAAGCACTACGCACGGGAGAGAAAATTCTCCCGCTCAATTGTTAGTCGAATTATCTTATATTTAAAAGAACTACACATGAGAGAAAACGTTATCCCTCTCAAATGTTAGCAAACTTATCTTCTTATCTTCTTATACATAAAAATATTGCATATGAGAGATATAATTATCTCGCTCAATTATTAGGCGGCTTATCTTATACTAAAATAACTAAATATGAGAGAAAAGTAATCATGCTTAATTGTTAGCAAGTCTCTCTTCTAATACCTAAAAGCACTATATATGAGAGAGAAAATCTCCGGCTCAATTCCACGCTCAACTGTTAGTCAGCTTATCTTTTACTCCGTAATACATAACAACACTACATTTGAGAGATAAAATTCTTCCGTTCAATTATTAGCAAGTTAATCTTCTTATAACAAAACCACT